AAAAAAAAAAAAAAAAAAAAAAAAAAAAAACTAAAAGCAGATTAAAAATAATTTTATTTAAGAGAGAATGTATCGAATCATAGATCAATCGAAAAACATTTACTCAAGAATAAAACTGAAACAAACTTATATCCAATATTGTCAACGATCTAGGATTAGATACAGTAATGACCACCTACCTATGGTGGACACATGTTAATATGTCCACTGTTTATGTGGCATGCACACATTGGTGATGTATTTTTTTGGACATATTAACATTACTCATGTTTGCATGCCACATAAGCGGTTGACATATTAACATGTGTCCATCGTGGGTAGGAGAGCATTATCCTGATTAGATATAACAATATAAAGTTAATTGGTTGATTGTTTGTTCTTTTCAGAACTGGATCTGATAAAATAATAATAATATTTCGTGCGATTATGTTATATATAACAACATTTTTTTTGATATAGTGCTGTTAAATTAAACGAGTTTGACTCGACTAGGCTCGATCTCGGCTCGTTAAGGTCTCGAGCTCGATCTACGAGTTCGGCTCGAAAATATAATTTTTTTATAATTTTTTATAGTTCGGTTCGTTAAGTCTCGAGCTCGAGCTCGGTTGTGCTCGTTTACAACTCTAGTTTGACATATGTATTGCACATATAAATTTAATAAGAAGAAATAAAAAAAATACATCATTATAAAAAAAGTTAAATTTAGTTATCGACCCAAATTTAAGAATACAAATAAAACTATAAATTATGACATAAAATAAAACAAATATCTATAGTATTATATCATAAAATGTTCTTTTATATATTCTTTTGTAGATTTAGAAAAATTGTATAATTAGGAATTTTAAAAATTATGTTTTAACTTAAATAAAGTACACAAGGATATTTAATGTTATTATAATGTTGAAAATATATATAGTTAATGACTATAATTCATAGCGTTTCAAAATCAACAATCACATACATTTTTTTATATGGCGAAGCATCATACAATATAGTTGAAGATACTTGAAAAAAGAAATAAATAACAAATAATATTATGTAAATAAAATATTATTATTGTACAATCAAGCTTAAAAAAATTCAAAATAAAATTTATAGTGGTTTAGATCCTATTTGTTTCACATGTATAGCTTTATAAATATGATAAAAAAAAAGTTATCAACGATGAAGTGTAGAATACCGAGGTAAATAAATTTAAATAACTATCTATGTTGTTATTATTGTATATTTATTCTTTTATCATTGAATAATAACGAAACATAAATTTCTTTATTTCTTGATGTATATATATTTACATTAACATCTAGACAATCACTGTTATAAATAATTTTCGAATGCCTTTAGCTTAAGTGATAGGTTCGTATGCTTCATAATCTTATTTGACATAAACTTGTGTTTCGTACGGACACATTTTTAGACTCGGTTATGACTATTAGGTTTGACAAGTACCATAAACTACTTTAGTTTTCCTTTTTTCTTAAGTTAACTTACTACCCTTACATTCTCTTATTTAATTCATATAGTAATTATTATAATATTGTATTCTTTTTATTTTTAAAACTTTATAACTGTTTTATTTGTATTTCACTTTTTATATATGATATATCAAATTAACCATATTTTAACAATCTACGATGTGACATTTGCATTGCATATATAAAATAAAAAAATATTATATATCTTATAAATAAAAAATTATTATCAAATTAATTTTAAAAAAATCATTAGCAATATAAATTATTTTATAAAAATAATAAAAATATATTAATTAGTGTACCCTAAAGTAGTCATTTTAATGTGTTTCTCGATAGACTTTGAATAAAATATGAAAAATAAGTTTTATATAAGTAAGTTTTATATTTATCGATGGGTTAATTGCATAAAAAACCACCACCTTTTGTTTAATTGCAAATAAAACTCAACCTTTTCAATTTGGCAAAAAAATATCTAACTTTTATTAAGTGTTGCAATTTTGTCTCGTCCGTCGGACCGCCGCCGTCAACCGCCACCCGCCGCCCCCAACTTTGTCGGATATTGAAATTTTTTATATGATCTTGTAGCTCTCCTCCGTGCCAACAACATATCCGAGTTTCACGAAAAAATTTCGACGACAAGACGTCCAATTTTTTGGTCAAAGGTCGTAAAACATTTAGATCTACGACCTTTGACCGGAAAATTGGACGTCTTATCGTCGAAATTTTTTCGTGAAACACGAATATGTTGTCGGCATAGAAGAGAGATACAAGATCATGTAAAAATTTTCAATATCCGGCGAAGTTGACGGCGACGGGTGGTGGTTGGCGGCGGCGGTCCGGCGGACGAGACAAAATTGCAACACTTAATAAAAGTTAGGTATTTTTTTGCCAAATTGAAAAGGTTGAGTTTTATTTGCAATTAAACAAAAGGTGGTGGTTTTTTATGCAATTAACCCTTTATCGATTTAAATAGATGATATAAAAAACAATTGCTATTATGTTGTTCAAAATAATACATATAAAGGAATATCATAATTATATAATAAAATAATTTTATATTTCATAAAGTTAAAAAATAATATATTTTTCGTAAATTAATATACTAAAATTTTAAATCATTTGATTTTGAAACACTTAAAAATTTATTAAATGAGGAAAAATGACTCTATGAATATAAAATATAATAATACAATAAAACTTGTTTTGATTGAAAAGAAAAATCAAATCAATTATATGGAGTTGTAAATAATATTAGTTTGATACATATATAATTTTAGTAAATAAACTAAAAAATATATTTGACAAATTTAGTGTAAAAATACAGACACTATTTCATTTATTTATGACTTTGTTAGTTATTTATTATAGTTGTACATTCATTATACATAATTTTAATATAAAAATATATACTATAAATTTTATTTTAAAATAGTTAATATATTTAAGTACCGTGTAGTACATATATATTGTACTAGCCATAACTAATCATCAATTTACTTCTTCTATCATATTTTTCCATTATTAAATAAAAAATGCATATATAAGGTCCAAGGTATTTCAAAAGAAAAAAGTATATCATTTTCCAATTTATTCACAACATATATATAGTCTGTATACAGCGTACTATACCTCAGTTGCCCCCTTTTGCTTCCTAATCTATACTCCGCAGATCAGATCCGATCTTCGCTCTTCAGGTCAGCCATTCTTCTTCTTCTTCTCGTTTTCCTGTTGATTTTCGTATGTGATGTGGAGACTCTGCGTTGAGAATGGATGTTTGTTTCTGCTGTTTTCAGCTCGAGATCTACCATTTCAGTTCGAGGATTATGTTGTTGTGTGCTGACAAATTGTTTGTTTCAGCTGTTTTTTTTCTGATTTTTGGTTTCTTGATTTCTTAATTTCTCTGTGGTTTTGTGTTTGTTTTCGAATTTTCGCATAATTGTGAATCGATCTTACTGTTTTGTTGGTGGAAATGTGAATCGGTCCTACTGTTTTGTTAGTGGAAATGAAGTCGATCTTACTGTTCTGTTAGTGGAAATGTGAATCGATCTTACTGTTTTGTAAGGGAAAGTGTGAATCGAACTTACCATTTTGTTAGTGAAAATGTGAATCGATCTTAATTATATAGATATTTTTTCACTTTGTGTTTATATTGCTGTGGAGAGATTGGTAAACTTGCTGGTGTATTCACTCGAGGAATTAAAAATGCAGAACAGAGAATAAATAGCAGAAACATAGAATGGATTTCTTCTTATTGAAATTATTGGTGGAATAATTAACGTTTTACTCATTAAACGAAGCCAGGCTATGGAAGTACCGTAATTGATTCAGACGTGTTATATATTTTCCAAGGATTTTTCCCCATACCCCTTCCATTCTTTTCCCAATTCTCAAATAAACTTCTTTGATCATACTTGTGAGAGCACAGAGAATCATTTTAGTCAAACAGTGATGTCTCATTTGCTACTTTCTTTTTATATTTCATCGCTTTTGCGAGATTTTGAGGTTGATTGTAGTGTGGTAACAGAAATTGAAATCAGGTGCTAATGGGCCGCGGAGTTAGCTATGGCGGGGGCCAGAGTTCCCTAGGCTACCTGTTTGGAAATGGGGAAGGCCCGGCTCCAAAACCTGCCGGAAATAATTCGGAGGCTCCTCCCGTGCAGAAGCCAAGCCCGGTTGAGAGTCTGATACCCGATAAGCCAGCCACTGTTTCCCCACCTGCTGAAGCTACTAAGCAGATTCCAGCTGGCATACAGGGAAACAAGAATAACAACTACTACAGAGCCGATGGCCAGAACACTGGAAACTTCCTGACGGTATGAATATTATCCTCTTGTTTTGACCAGTAATTGCTGTGTTGCCAACTATTTTTTCTTATTGCTAATTTGCTTTTACAGGCACCCAATTGTTATGTTATGGGCACTTGTTGTCTGAACAACTATTTATTTCTTCTTGCTAATTTGCTTGCATGGGCATCCACGATTAGTGGACTGTGTGAATTAGCGCTCAACTGTTGTTTGTTTGGGAGATGATTCTGCAGTCTTTGACTTCATGTTTATTGATCA